AAATATGTGGAAAGTGTGTTTTATATGTGGTAAAATTTACACTCTTTTAGTTTACATGCTATTTGGTGAATGCCACACACACACCAGCCTGTTGGATCTATGTTTATGCTTCACACTATTGCTTCAGCTGCTAAGGAAAAGGGCTAATGTCAAAAGATGCTCAGCTCACAGCTTGACTTGTATAATGTAAGGGCTCTTTATACATCTACCTTCAACCTAGAGTTCACAGCAAGACACGTGCTGTCAGGTCAGGGAACTCACTTTAGCAACCCAGTCCTAATTCCAGGTCAGCTGGAGCTGAGCCATGGATTACACTATTAGTCCAGGATGACAGTTACTTTCCTTCTATGATTAAACATCTTTGGAAAGGATTTCTGTGTTACATAACCCAAGGTTCAAACTCTTTTGTTCTTGAGTTCTTTGACAATGAATAGAAGCTTAAGTTCACTGCCTGCTGTCCAATACTTTTTAAGAGTCCTGTTGTAAGAAATAATATTCATGGATGATTGCCTAAAAGATACGAAGAACTTCTATCCCTTTATATACCCAAAATTGTATCCGCACATCAAGCCAAACGATCAAAAAAGCAGCAGGCTTAGGCTGAACTGCTCTGGCCCTGTGTAGAGCTGCTTTTACTGAATTACACTTTGGCAGTATGCCATTGGCTTGCAGTGAGGGACATTATAAGAAGCAGTTCTATAAAAACTGCTAGTGTAAGAATGTTGTTGAAGATATTTCCACTGTATCTCCACATTGAGCATTTGATGAGAATCAGTGGAGAAATGTCCCTTGGGTCTTAGTTCCAGCACAAACCTGTTTCTCTGGCTTTCTTGATATGGGCACAGGAAAGTGCCTATTTCCCTTCTCGCTGTGGTTTTAGGAAGCACAGAGTCAAATTTTTGTGCTACCTCTAACAACTAACTGTACATAAACTGTATATGAACAACTAACTTTCATGGTCTTTTCCATCCTCATCCCTCATACTTTCTACAGTTTAATTTCTTCTTAATGTGTTTATTATGTGTATTTCTGTAAACTCTCCTAAATTTTTGGAGAACAAATGTGCATTTAACTTGTGGGCCCTGAAAAGGCTCTGCCAGATCACATCTGCCTTTCCAGCCTTGTCTTTTGCCATTTTCTACCATGACTCTGTGACCCAGTCACACTGACCTGCATCATGCCTTGACTATGCTGTGCCCTTCTGTGTTGTTCTCCATCTGTCTATGCAGATTCCTCTGCCTGGAAGACCCTTTGCCTGTTTCTTAGTCAAGTGAAATCCTGGCAGAACTCATAGTTTCTGTCTTTGTTCCTGTATGGCTTTTCATCCATGCCACCAGGATAGCATTTATATTATCTCCAGTACACTAGGTATACACCTGGGTCCTTTGCTAGATCATAAACTCCTTGAAGGCAATTTGCATTTATCTTTGTATCTCCAGCACCTCACCACAGCTCCATATATATATATACACACACACACACATATATGTGCTCAACAAATGTTTGTAAAAGTAACAAGTCAATGAATACTCCAGAACCAGAACTGGGACCCCTGGGAGACTCGTAACGAAGTTTGATAACAAGCTGCATTTCAGTATTCACATGGGCTTCACAGTGGTGGCTGCTGGAGGCACAGGTACACATGCTGGTATCTTCCAGAGTTTGAGATAACTGGCTACATCAGTCTTTCCTCAGAGCAAACCCCAATCCTCCAAATTTCTTCTGGAGACAGGAATACAGGGATGCTTTTTTCCCCCCACGACTCTTGCCTATGGCATTTGCTACCTGGTCAAATTCCAGCTGTTTGGCATTGGTGATGCTAACACCACAACATCAAACCCAAAATATAAAAAAAAAAGCTACACCTGATTCTGCTTTTTGATTCCACGGGACAGAGAAGAGGGGCCCAGGTAAAGGGAGCAGGTAGGAAGCAGTCTGGTATACTGGGGGCCTCAAGGGTGCACGCCTGCGTATGAATGTTGAGGAAAGCTAACACCAGCAACCAATGATTCAATTTTCCAAACACTGGGATAGAAATGATGCTACCACAGCCTCCCCTGTCCTTCCAGTGCCAGCATAACTTCTCATTTGTTCAAGAATCCAAATATCCACTGGATGATGAAACAGAACATGAAAATAGCATCACACTGTTTACAGAAGAGTCTTGCACCAAAACACATTCAAAGGGCACTGCAGAGCAATTTTAATATAGTAAGCAGTAACTTTCTGCCTTGGAGCTTTCCCATTTTTGCCTTTTGCTTGGTGTTTGCTTTCCTGGAAACCTCACAGTAAAACTAATAGGACTACTACAGTTTCAACAGGAAGACCATGGAGTCCAACACCTCCATTTTACAAGTGGGCAAGCCGAGGCCCTGTCAGATACACTGAGTTGTCCAAAGCTACACAATGAACTGGCAGCAGAACCAATGCTTGATACTCAGACCATTGTTGCTCCCAGGATCTCATGCCAGCTGCCTCCTGGTAGTCCTCAGACAAAAATTAAGTACAAATAACCAGAAACTCCTGGGAGAATAAACCAACCCACTTGTTTCTACATTAATGCCAACTCAGTTAAAAGAAAAAAAAAAGCCCTCTATTAAAGGGCTAACAGACTCAGTTAAACATCTGAGCAAGTGATTAATGTGTACAGGGACAGGGACAAGGTTGCAAAGAAATGTTCTATCTTCGAGCTTGGCATCTGGGACTGATTCTGTAAACACTTGGGGAGAGCCTAGCATCTGCTGACCCAAGTGTTGGAAGAAGGAGAGGAGGTGAATGAAAGCAGGGTGTGCAAGAATGCAGCAGAAATCTTGGTCTCAGATCTCCTACTCTGTTGACGAATGTGTTATGTATGTCACTTGGCAACTGGGACATGGCGTGCATCAGCAAAAAGACACTCAGGGTTTCTGCAGTTGAGCTGGGAGGGCACAGGGCTCTACAAACAGTTCACAATTCAGTTGGAAGTGCCATAAGGAACACAAGAGTGCTGGTGCCTTCTGGTTTCAATTCTGGCACAATATCCCAATTTTAGGGGGCCACATGTGTCCACAATCCCTGGGCACGCACAGCACAAGGCAAAGGCTCATGTTAGGATGTACCGACTCAACCACGGGAAGGGCACTAGACTTTTTTGAGTTTCTGATTGCCTTTTTTAAACAATAAAAACATGGATCATAATCCTTCCCAGAAAAATGTGAGGTTAAAAGTTTAATCTGAGTTCACAGCACACACATTCCAAGGGGGCACTGTACTTGGGGAAATTACTCACCTAGAGTTTATATAAGTTCCGAGGCGATTAGAGTCAGCCGACAAATTGGAGCCAGGACACGTTTACATTTAAGGCTTAAAATGTAGATTCTTCTTACAGAAAGAAAGAATGAGGGGGGAAAATCACCCAATGTTTCTTGTTAAGGGACCAGACCCCATTAAGTGTCAGTCCATCATCTCAGAAAGTGTGGGAGATGCCAACACATGATCCCTCTCTGTCCCTCTTGAAAAGCACACGTCACATCTGCTTGCTATCAGTATTTATCTCACAGCGTGCGTCTGACTCATTTGGAAAACTCAAAGCACATGTTTATTCCTGCTGAGGAATCAGCCATTACTATGCAGTTTTACAGGTCTTCTGTAACCCAGAGCACACTGTGATGAAAAGAGCTGCCAGGGAGGCGGGCTGGGCTCTCAGTGCTGCTTGGTTTGATTACATGGCTCCCAGCTTTGTATGTGGAGAGAACACCTTCCCATCCTCCAGTGAGCTCTCTTTCACTTCTAGTCTGGGCCACAACTAACTCCCCTTCTTAGTCACACAGTGGGTGAAGACCTTAAAGCAAGTCTGGGAAAGAGCGGCAGCAGTTAATGAGAATGAGAAACACACAGCGGGGCGCCTGGGTGGCGCAGTCGGTTAAGCGTCCGACTTCAGCCAGGTCACGATCTCGCGGTCCGTGGGTTCGAGCCCCGCGTCAGGCTCTGGGCTGATGGCTCAGAACCTGGAGCCTGTTTCCGATTCTGTGTCTCCCTCTCTCTCTGCCCCTCCCCCGTTCATGCTCTGTCTCTCTCTGTCCCCCAAAAAATAAATAAAAACGTTGGGAGAAACACACAGCTTGTTAATTGTTGGAAACTAATGGCGTTTGTGCAGCAACTCAAAAAGTCTTGGTCACAAAACGAAATCTACGTGCTCTTCCTTTTTTTTTTTTTTTTTTTATCCCTGCTGTCTTTGGGGTGGCTCCTGGTGACTGCAATACAATTCTCACACTGGGCTTCTCTGCACCACCTAATCTGAATTCAAGTGGCTTCTCTAACAACACTGAAGATGATGGCAACGTGAACCTACGTTACCTGGGCCTACATAAAGCCACACTCTGGGATGAAGGATGAAAATTTGTTAGACTTAGTGTTTTGCCTGTTGGATCTTTTTTTTCTGATTTTTGGCTCTATTCTGCCAAAATTGACTGCAAAGCCATGGCAGGACAACAAAAGTGTCTTTGCATGACTTAGGAAAAGGTGCCCCTTCAGGCAGATCAGCCCTTCTGGAAACCTTTCTGCAGAGCCAAACCTGCACAAGTGACTGCAGCAGCCCTGGCAAGAGCTTTTCCTAGGCCTTTTCTTTCCAGAGACCTTAAAAAGTGACAGAAACTCTGAAGTTTATTTGCTTTAACTGGAAAAGCCACACTAGGATGATTAAATGCAAGAGGTCAAAGGTTCTAATCAAAACCTACCATGGGGCATCTGGATGGCTCAGTTAAGCGACCACCTTTGGCTCAGGTCATGATCTCACGGTTCATGGGTTTCAGCCCTGAATCGGGCTCTATGCTAACAGTGTGGAGTTTGCTTGGGATTTTCTCTCTCTCTGCCCCTCCCCTGCTCACACGCTCTGTCTCTCAAAAATAAGCATTAAAAAAAAAAAAAAAACATAAAACCCTACCATATACTTTTATTTGTGTTTGCTGAATGCTGAGTCCCACAGAGGGCTGGATGGCAAGGCTGGCATGAGTTAGCCATACCCGATGGGCCTCCATCTGGCCAGATGAGCTGATAATCCTCAGTTTGCCCAAGAACCAGCTGCCAGACAGAACTTGTTGCTTTGGTGAGTTTGGGTCCACTTTCTTAAGCTGCGTCCTTAGTTCTGCATACCTCTGGAATGACAGGGAGATTTCCTGTCCTCCTGGTTTGTATATGCCTTCCCACTTCTTGTCAGTGGCCTCTATCATCCCTCAGATTTTGCAGGCAGGCCTGTCCTCTGTGGCCACTCTATCTTTGAACAGACCACCAAACTCTGACCACCAACTTTAGTAGGTGCTATTTCCTAGTTCAATGGGTTCCAAGCATTCGAACATAGAACCCCCAACTTCATTACTTTATTTATTCTTTGTTAACTGATAAATTATCGATGCAAGCTATCACATCACTACTTAATAGTTCAAAATACACTTAGAGTGAAAGCTATCGTAACAATTACACATGTAAATTTTCATCCATATCCCCCAGTGACATTTTAATAATTTTGATGGTTTTCTGGCTAATGCTTGGCAAATCACAAGAGACTGTCACTGTGTCTACCCTGTAACACTGTCACCTTATAATGTGATTGGCAAACCATTTTTGGGAGGCATAGGAGAAGTGTTTCCTGTGTTCAATTTTTGTCTATTTGGTTCTCTCAGGGATGTACTGATAGAATGCTATCTTTAATCCATGGTTCCTTTATAGGAGTCTTTTATTTTTATTTATTTTTTAATGTTTATTTTTGAGAGAGAGCGAGAGCATGTGCAAGCATATGGGCAGGGGAGGAGCAGAGAGAGAGAAGGAGACACAGAATCCAAAGCAGGCTCCACATAACCTGTCAGCATAGAGCCTGATGTGGGCCCCAAACCCATGAACTGTGAGATCATGACCCGAGTCGAAGTCAGACACTTAACTGACTGAGCCACCCACATGCCCCTACAGGGGTCTTTTAAAGTCATATGTTCATTTCGTGGAGGTTAAAACTAGACAATACAACTGTTAAACCCATTCAACTAGGTACCAGTAACCAAGCATGGAGTACTCTCTGCCTTTGAGAACTTGGAGACAAAAGTCTAAAGATTGGCCCACTCTTTCACTTAGGGTTAATACCATGTCACCCAGCCAGGAAAAAATGCACTGGGTTTTATAGCCACCAGAAACACGAGAATTTCATAGCTGACTCCACATCTACATCATTTCTGGTTCAGAGCACTTCCTAGCAAGAGAAAGGAAGTTACAGATACCATTTATGTCCAAATGTCTTAAATGCCTCCAAAGGGAAGCAGGTAAAGTATACAACCTAACTTTCTAGGCTTAAAACAAACAAACAAAACAAAACAAAAAAACAGGGTCTGTCTTCACTCATCTTTCCTCCATGGGCACTTCAAAAAAAGCATGGGAGCTACAAGACAGCAGCAAAAGGCATGCTGTTCCTCCTTCCATTAGCCCACATTGCCTTACCTTCCGCAATAATAACACCTACAGTCTTAACACCTTCCATAAATTGATTTTGTCACCCCATTCTAGGTTTGAAAAATTAGAGCTGCTATATACATTTTCAATCCAAAGGGTCGTGATTTCTAGTTTTTGAGGAATGTTGCTACTTTATCCAAGAAAAGCAACCACCAACAAGATGAAAGGAACTAGCCACAAATTCCCCTTTCCACCCACTTCTACGGTAAAAACACAAGATCAGCGCATTTCTCCAATGTTGCCAGTGAAGACTTTTCTCCAATGCTTGAATACTGGCCCTTCTGAGCCAGGTCTCCCCTCTGTGCACAAGCCTCTCTCTCTGACGGCAGAAGCATCTCTGTGCATTCAGTGGGCCTGATACAAGAGAGGGAGTCTGGGGGAAGGGTGGGGAAGCTGACTTAGCAACTTAGCAGGGTCAGTCACAGGAAAATTCTATCTATGGGAAAAGCAGATTCAAACTGTGCAAGAGTTAGAGGAGTTAGTTAACCATAAGTTAACTCTAAGTTAGCTTCTCCAATGAACTCTCTGATTCACTGGCATCTGTAATGAAGTTCAAAGAAGTCAGTTATTATAAAGAACAAGAAGAAAACCAGCACTGAAGCCAACTGAGGCTATGGATTGAGACATCCAGAATCTCTAGTCTTTTCTGGAATGGGGGGAACATGTAAGCTGACAGCTTTGACCTCAAGTTCTACGTGCTGCCTCTTTTTGCACTAGGGGATTCTAAGTGCCCATGGACTTAATACAAGAAGAAAAGAAGGAATTAAAAGCTGGCCTATATGTAGTATCCAGACCTAAATCCTAACCCAAACATATCCAAATTCTTCTGATCTTCTTAAGATCAATGTAACCAAACAAAGCAGGTCCAAATAATGCCAAGCAGTTGAGGGCCACCCATGTATACCAGGCTACTTTATCAGCAGCTCGAGGCACTATTTATAAAAAAGCAAAACCAACCAAATAAACCAACAAAAGACAACACACAAAAACAAACCCAAAATGCCATCCCAGAAAATGCACAATGGAGTCTGAGGTTGAGGACACTTTCCACCCTGTCTCAGGACTGAATTTCAGATGACTGGGGTGGGGACCACCAGCACTAGAGACCTGGGGTGTGTGACAGGGAAATGAGCCAGGAGAGCAACTTAGTTGAAAAGATACTTCTCGGGGGACCCGGGTGGCTCAGGCGGTTAAGCATCCGACTTCAGCTCAGGTCATGATCTCGTGGTCCGTGAGTTGGGGCCCTGCGTCAGGCTCTGTGTGGACAGCTCAGAGCCTGGAGACTGCTTCAGATTCTGTGTCTCCCTCTCTCTCTGCCCCTCCCCCACTCATGCTCACTCACTCTCTCTCTCTCTCTCAAAAATAAACATTAGAAAGAAAGAAAGAAGGAAGGAAGGAAGGAAGGAAGGAAGGAAGGAAGGAAGGAAGGAAGGAAGGAAAGGTACTTCTCAGTCCCAGGTGGGCAGCTCTGTGCCCTTGTAGCTGTTCCTACTAGATGGGAGTCCTTTCTGTCAAACTCTCCCCAATGGCAGGCCATGCTCTGCCATCCATGTCATGTCATTTACTAATTTATTTGTCCATTAACAAATATTTATTGAATTCCTCCTAAGGGTCAAGTCCTGGGGATATACACATGAATGGAACACACATAGCCTCTACCTTCATTTGGAGCATTCTCTAAGTCTCTCTGGCAGGCTGTTTGCTTGAGTTTTAATCCTGGTTAACATGTAGACACTGTGGGGCAGAATTAGACTTGGCTGTTGCCAGTTGTTAGTTAAGCAGGGTTTTGAAATTCAGACTGATACTGAGTACCTGGAAGGAAGCACTGGGGCAGATGTGTGGTGGGAACCATGGTAGAGCACTTGCGAAATTAATTTTCATCTGTTTCACAGTTTGCTTGGGACTAGCCCAACCTATAACAGACCCTGGTTCTTGGCTCAGTCCTCAGACAACCCTTGTTAAAGGGTGTACATGGGGTGGGGGGGGAGGGCAATGACTGGAGAGGCTATATTTATTCAGAGTCTATAGAAAGTCCCAAGACACAGTTTTAGCTAGACTTTCAGCTCTCTCTTTGTGTAAGTGGTTAACCCTTTTCATCTCCATCTGTGTCCTCAGTGCAGACTGAGGTAGTGCGTGGTAGTGCTTGGGAGGAGTAAAACTGCAAAAAGACAGTGGCAAGTGGATATCTAGAAGCTGGAAAGGGCACACATAAAGTCTAATCTGGATAATCTCTGGGTACTGGATAATGAAGCACTGGTGTGCTCTACGAGTGGAGCAACTTTCAGTTTAAATCACGCCAACTGAATGTTCAACAGTTTCTAGAATGAATAGATCCTTCTGATCTGTCATAAGTTCGTGCACTTGGAATAACCAATAATGTATAGTTAAACATGTAATAAAACTTAAGGGAAAAGAGAGTCCAGGGCGTGCAGGGGAAATGAGCTATTACTCCTCTGGCATGGAAAGGCCATTGTGTTTCATGTATGATTTGACCATGCTTCAGGAAAGCAATTTTAGCTTTAAATGGCACATTTCCTTTCTTCTTTTATTAGGCTTCCTGAAGGGTTATTTCACCCCAGGTACTTTCTTATTCTGAGTAGTATTTCAGCTGTTTCGTGCAAACCCAGATATCTTGCAGAGATCTCAGTAATATTTGGTATGTCACTAACGGTCAACAACTGGCAGACTGTGGTTCTGGAATCCTGAGCTGCATACTTGAATCTGTGATGGATGTTTATAACTGTCGGAATGTGTCTTCAATCATCACAGAAATGCCTGAGCACATGGCTGTTTGTTGCGCAATGGAAGACGTGACTGACCATGTTTCTTAAGATGGGCATTTGTGCCATTATTTATTATTGTTCTGGTAACATTTACTATTTTTGAGGGCTTGTTGTTCTGTTTTAAGAAATAACAATTTGAGTGTTCCCCCCCGCCCAAAGAAATAGCCTCAACCTTCTTTCCCCAAGTTTTGTAGCAAGGCAGCATCTGGGAACATATGGTTTCAGCTTCCTGAAAAATAAACTTTCTTTTCTTATTTTGTTAAGATAAATTCTTTATTCCTAGTGAAACCAAGACTAGATTAGTTAATGGAATTTTATCTCCTTGGAATTTATCTACATGGGAACATCAATCTCATTAGAGCCTCTGGAGGTAGGGGCTAATGGAATGTAGACTATCTTGCACATGAATGTCTTCTAATCATGAAACAACAATTCTTACCTAGGAGCCACAAACATGTGCTTTTTTTCAATACTATCTGCACTCAGGCTTGCTTCAACCTTCTTAGTATTTAGGTATCTAAAATTAGTTATTCATGAGTGAAATAAAATATTTGTATTTGCATTATAGTTCTTCAGATCTGTAACCAGCTCACACCAGCTGGCCTTTTAAATAATTCCTCTGTAAAATCTCCAGTAACTCCGCCACTCAAAGCAATGCAGTTACCTTTGGCTTCCTTACAGGGATTCAACCCCTATTCCAAGGGAAACAGACCAGGTTTTCAAAAAGCCAAATGGTCCTTGGCGCCTTAGCTGCTCATGAAAGTACAATTATTATCAACAGAAAAGATACTTTCTAATTGTCACCAAGGACTTGTCCTCAGTGTTTTGTGATCTCAGATCAAAAGTCTCCAGGTGTCGTGGGTGGGGCCAATGCTAGCACTTGGCTTAGCTCCACTGTGCATCCTCCTGGCATCTCAATGTTCTTGTTTATGAAGCTGGGCCATCTTATCCTT